TCTTAGTCGATGTAATTTCACAGTCTCGTCGACTGATTTCCCCTCCTTACCTAGCACTCGACCGATGCCTAACCTCAATATTGCTCACCTTGTTGTACCACTTCACGCGGGAGATAGAACGCAGACACCTATGATCAAAGACAGCTAATCTTTTCATGTCTTCCGCTCTCAATGGCCGGGTCCCATAGCCACCCTTGTTCCCTAACTGATGTCAGCTACTGATCAAACCTTTCACCAGTAAAGTCCCTGCAAACCAAACTTGATAGTTAAGTATCCCTGAAGACCGTACAGCTAACAAAGACTTGAACCTTTCTATCGTCATCCAAAACTGTGAATCTGAAAAAAGACTACACTACAACTGTTTGATTTTCACTAAGCGTATTAAGGGGGGGGGGGGGTAATGTGGTTCATCGACTTAAGCGTTCAATCGACAAACAATCGGTTCATGATTCGTACCTCATCCCACTAATTTCAGCTTAGGTAACTGGTGGTAACGTCGGTCCTTACACATCTAATAGGTTGATATAACACAGATCGATTTGGGTTAACTGAGCTAATTACCACCCCCAATCAACTGCTACAAGTAATTACCGACTACTGTCCGGTAATAAAATTTACTTCTAAAATGGAAAACGAATCCGAAATTCCCTGTCCTGATGTAGAAATAACAAGAGGACCCCATGGGGAAGCCACTTGGAACAGTCAACTAACAAGTTGCTACAGCTGTGTACTTATTGAACGAAATTTAATAAAATCCCTTGTCACTCAGATCCGAAGCATCTGTAGTCCTGACGTCTCAGGAGCAAAACTAGATCTAGTGAAGGAAATATTCATCACCAATGAGATTCAGTGACAAGAACAGTAAACCAAAAAGGTCCGGGGAGCTCAACATTACTTGTTCTAAAGTAGAGAATCGATTTCAAGGGAGACTCAACCAGTGGCATCTCTCAGAGAAGAACTTCAGCATCTTTGAGAAGAACATTCTCCACCAAAGCGCTAAGAGCAGTGTTCTTCATTCGTCGAGTGGTCTGTAGCTTTAAGGACAGAATCTTTCATTTCAACACTTTTATGTGCATGTGTTAGTTCACCTGTTACTATGGAGCCAGGTACGTTAGTCGTTCGACGCGCATCATGTCTAGAAGAGTTCAAGAACACTGTCCCGCATGGCTGCAGGGAAGGCAGTAGTGACTCCATAACGACTGCGATAACCGAACATCTCGTCAACACTGGTCATTCCATCTCAACAAACGCTTCCTTCAAAGTGAAGAATAACCCGCCAATACACAATAGACTTTCGTCTCCTTTGCATTGTTGAAGCTCTAGCCATTGAGATAGATAAACCGGAGCTATGCATGCGAAAGACAATTATTCAACCACTTCTACTATCATGGTAACAGCATTGTCGATTTCTACGAACTTGACTTTTGCTTGTTATTCTTACTCTTGTATTTCTTTAGAACTCTTGCATAATCGCATACTTTTCAGCGTTTCTATATGCACTCTGATTACAACTCAATCGTAAACCTATTCATCTTATTACTTAACTCTAATACACTTATTCAACTGACATATAGCAACCATGTTTGTGACAACTCATCACTTTTGTTACTACCCTCTCTTCTGTGAAGAAAAAATTATATATGAATGTGATTGTACAGATAAAGGGGAAAATGAATTCGCCGCCGAAAACAGCCTCTTCACTGAACCACGAATTTTGTTTTCATTAATGTCTGGATGGTGGGGGATTATTCATGAATTAACCCAATTCTGACGTATATATATGTTGAATGTCAGTAAAAAGTGGGAGCATTGTGGAAGGGATCAAATAAAGTAGAATGATATTTTAACAATTTACACACACAATGGTAAGTTTTTGTTTTTGGTAATATTTCGAGCAAAATTACTGTCCGTAATCATACCAACTGTTTGAATTGTTTTGTTCTTTAATTCACACATTTATGTTTTTGATGTGGTTGTGTTCTCTGAGCTAGCTGGATGGTTAATTTGCGAAGCTTTTATCACCCTACTAGGTGACATCTTCAGCGCATGCTTCAATTTGAAGGGAGCTTTTAGATTTCTCCACGAGTTTATTAATCATCTCTCCCGGTGACCTTGGACGTGATTGGTTGTTTGGTTGACATAGTACTGAGTGAAGTGATTTTGTTGGTTCTATGTCAACCAAAAGACTCGACAGTGAAGGTGGATAAAACCAACATCATCTACAAAATAAATCGTAACAACTGCGAAAAACACTACATTGGTCAAAGTGGATGTCCTCTTCCTCTCCACGAGCATGAGCTAGCCGTCAAGAGACATGATATCCACTCCCTCATATCACTACATACAGACAACCACGGACACCAATTCGACTGGGACAACGTTCAAATATTAGACAGAGGAAACAACAAGAATGCTAGAGAATTTTTAGAAGCTTGGCATTCCAGTGAATCACCAATCAATAGAAACATCGAGATAGACAATATTTATCAACCGATAAGAAAGAAACCTCACACACAAAGGGTCAAAGTTCAAGTCAAAGAAACGATCAGTTCCAATACAAGTAACCTAGAAGGTGTGAAAACGCACAAAAACAACCAATCACTTCAAAGGTCACCAGGAGAGATGATTGATAAACTCGTGGAGAAATCTAAAAGCTCACTTCAGCAAATTGAAGTATGCGCTGAAGATGTCACCTAGTAGGGTGATGAAAGCTTCGCAAATTAACTATCCAGCTCAGAGAACACAACCACATCAAAATCATCCACCTGAGCTACAAATCTTCTCCATCATATCACACATTTATGATCTACAACACATTAGAAACTGACGCAAAACAGGCCGCAAACAAGAGGGACCTCACATTACTACAACAGACAACTCGGTTGCTACCTGGGAAGAGATCAATACAGATGAAACCAACGAGAGTGTGAAGGGAATCGAATTACCAAAGAGCAGAAACATGAGAGACAATGGGTTGACCACTTAAAAGTAATTCCGAACGGACGACTATCAACAACTCGTCCAGAAATACAACAAACAGCCACAGAACTGCCAGTTGACACAAATTCTCCAACATAAGTAGAATTATTGATGAACGTCATAAAGCTAATAAAAACCAGCAAGACAAGACGGAACTCTTGTGAAAGCACTGATAAGGGATCCACAGACCTCAGCGTATATCCTCACACCACTAATGCAGAAAATTTGGAAGGAAAGATACCTTCTGATTTGAAGGAAGGTAACCTTGTCAAACTACCAAATAGTGACTTCAGCCTGTGCATAAAGTGGTGCGGAATCAGGCTCCTGTCCACCCGAAGCAAAATATCAAATCACATTATTCTGGAGAGAGTCTGTCTGTCTGGGTTCAACATAGAACTTGGCACCCAAGTGCAGTAGTTCGAGTTGCCACGTTCCAAATAGCACACAAAAGTAGACAAGAAGATGAGGGAAGAGAATCAATAGAGTTTTGACAAGTATAAGAGCGAAACAGAATGAGTAATGGTAGAAAGGAATATGAAGGATTACAGAGACTGAATACATCTGCGTAAGCCATTGACAACGATTTTGAGCCATGTCACCTTGTGGTGAGAGCTGTCTACTAGCCAAATTGGTAGACAGTCAATGTTTACGTTCTCAAGATTTGTCGTGAGAAAATATGAACAAAGACTGATTCAAAACCGACCACAGCAGACTTTGCGTAGGCGGATATAGTTAACATATAGACGATCTGACATTCAAGAAAGTCACAAAGAGATGAAACAACCAATCAGAAGACCGTGTTTGTTTGCTTAACTAAACTATTATAATGTACATGAAAATATATAAATATGCTTTGATTTCCTTAATAAACGATCTATTGCCTGACCCTTGTCTTCTGTTGTTACAACCTATTGTCTCCAGCCATTGATTCTTAGAGTCCCGAGGGTCCCAACCCGAAAATCTGCATCTCCCTACCTATCTGACTCAGTTTAACTGTCAGCGATTCCATGGATTGATGAGGCCATATTTTGTTTGGCCGCTACTTACTCTTTTCCAGCCTGTTCTTGTTGGTTGACCTTAAGTTAGGCTTTTATGTTTATTCACTCTTGTTCTGAGTGATTTGGACGTTTGACCCATATATATATATATATATATATATATATATATATGTTTAAGCTGCATGATATAGAATTATCTAAAAGGACTCTCTTCGTGATCATCCTCACACCATCAATGAATGACTCTAGTTCTCGGCACAGTTTTTTTTTTCAATGCCACGATCAATGATAGAGGAGCATATTCCAAAGTATAAAATACAAAACAAAACAAAACGAAAAACAAAATCACAGTTTATTATTCCAAAAACAAGCACACATCCACATTGGTACAGAAATAATTACGGAGAAGAAAACACTAAAGTGAGTAGTGATCACACTGGACTGACGATATAGCGGTGTGGTATATATTATATATGTATATATAAATATATGCATACATTTGGGGTTGAGGAAGTAAAAAATACAAGAAAACAAATTAGAATAGAAAAAAATTGTGCTTTTTTAATTAAAAAAAAACAGTCTACATAGGGACAATAAAAACATTTGACTTTGCACACAAACACACAGGGGTAGGGTAGGGTAAGGGGTAAGGTAAGGAAGTAAATACTGAGAGATCACGTGGTACGCACGCACAACAGCACAGAAAACATCCTATATATATATATATATATATATATATATATATATATATATATTTATTCAGACAAATAATGCAGTTTTTTTCTTTAAAAAAAGGATCCTAGAACAAACAACATTCAATAATCATCACTGATGAGAAAAGACAAAAGAAAGAAAGAAAGAAAAATATTAAGAGCATACTGGTGAGACTCCAGCGCTAACTGCACATTATGAAACATATTCATCACCTGACGATAGGTGTATACACCGAAAGGCACTTATCCAACTGTGGTTTATCGACTTTTTTTATATTAATATTATTATTATGCAGGATATCATCATCACTATTATTATTATTATTAATATTATGGTTGATCAACATCTGCACGGAAATCTCCATAACGCCAGATATTTTTACGCTCCTTCTTAGCTGAAGCTTGTGCATCCAAGTATTTGTGTAGTAGATTATGAGGTAGTCTTTTAAGCAATTGAGGTTGAATAGGTTCAACACACACTAGACCATTGGACAGTAATGATTCACTTATGTCCAAATCAGTTGGACAAGATGATCCAGAGGAATTAACATCGACAGTTGGAAGTAGCAATGTTACCGCTGGGACAGGTTTAATTGATTCATTTCCACAAGGTACTGAATCGTACTGGACAGCTAGTTTTACCTGTAAAACAAAACAGAACAGATTAAATACAAGAGGACAATGAGAAAGTTTAGTTTTAGATGGTCGCGATTCCATTAGATATGCACACAGAGTGCCTTTATGATGAATTAATCAATAGTTTAGAATATATTTCTCAGACAAGAATTGTTTTGAACACCTGAAAGTTGACACAGTAGCGCTTATCGCAAAAGCGCAGCCTCAAGACCAATTACAGATTCTCATACAAGCCGCCTTTTGTCTTCTTCAGAGGCAAATGAAAAACGAAACAACTCGTTACCTGGTAAAAATTACCATTCATCAGAACTCCACACTGAAAGCAATCGAAAATAAATAAAATGAACTTCAGCCGTCTGATATCCAAGCGAAAAGCAACAGGTTGGCAGAAGAAGCATCAAAGATAGGACTTCAGGTGAACATAGAGAAGACAGAGGTGATGAAGATTCCTGGCCAACACCACCAACAGCAACAATAACCACAACAGGCAACAATCAGCATAAATGGAAGGAACCTGAAAGAAACAACCTCTTTTACCTACCTGGGAAGCATCGTTTCAACTACAGGCGGACTGAACTGATGAGGATATCAACGCAAGGATCGGAAAAGTAAGACAAGCTTTCATTACTCTCAAGTCTGTGTGGAGGTCAACAGCATTCAACGTCAAAAATAAGATCCGGGTTTTTAACTCCAATGTGAAGTCAGTCAGTGCTACTATACGGATCAGAGATTTGGCCAGTGCGTCATAAAGAGCACATCAAACAAACTGCAGACCTTCATTAACAGTTGTCTTCGCTCAATACTCAAGATCAGATGGCTGGCCAGAAAAGATTAGCAACAGAGATCTCTGGCAATGAACGAACCAACCAGGAACCGATTGTGAAACGAATAGGCAGGAAGAAATGGAGTTAGGTGGATTGGCCATACTCTGAGGAAACAATGCATCAAGTGACATCACTAGACAAGCCATTGCTCGATTGGAAGCTGAAAGGGAAGCGGAGAGTTGGTCGTCAGTGCGAGGGTGACTTGGAGGAGGTCATGTGAAGAGGAGATGAAAACGTATGGGCAGACTTGGAGCCAGGTGAAGACTGTAGCAGAGAACCAAACGCAATGGAAGCGCACGGCTGAAGCCCTATGTCCGTCAAGGAATTAAAGGAAATAATAATAATAATCAGCCGTCTGAAAAAAAAACTCCCTTCTGTCACGTGATTCAGACGTTGACATAACTCTTCATAAGGTTAATAATGCAGCTGGAACAATAGTTAAGTGATATTTGAACAAATTATTACACAAGTTATACGGCTTGTTGCAAAAATAAAAAGCCCAATTTTTACTAACCTCTTTGTTCTCAACAAGATCACAGAAGGCACGTTCAGCGAATGTACGATCTGCAGCATCCGGTGGTAACTGCACAAAGGCTAACCGATATTCTTTAACCTGTGGAGGAAGTTGCATCAGTGAACCAGATGGAAGCGGAGAAAGCCGTGATGAATATTCAGCCGCCTCGATCACTTCTTCATTACCAAAGTCAATGAACTGGACTGCTATAGATTTAGGCGAACTTCGAATAACGCGTGCTCTATACCAGCAATTATCTAAACTGAAGCAGGCAATACAAAGACTACCCTTTTTAGGATAACTTTCAGGTGGGAATGACGGGAAGGATTGACTATTTAGAGCTTGACTAATTTTGATTAAAGTTGCTGCATCCGACAAATGTTGAGCAAAAAATCGTAGGCCTTGACTACCAGAAGGGGGTTTGGAAATTCCTGTCACTTGGGCTGCCTTCCACGATACCTGAAATAGAGAAGGCATTTATTAAAAGCAAGAGTCTTAGAAAATAAGCTATGCAAGCAAGGCTCTATATTTATACATTTTTGCATGGTACAACATACATTTACTATCTAAATACCACTCGAGCTTACAGCTTATAAAATATACGTTTCATGCAGTGCACTAGATGACTAACGGAGAAAGCATATATATAGGTTTTCAAGTATTGGTTTTGTAGGGATTTTGTTTGATTGCATGGAGGATTTCATCATGAGCTGACATCAGTTAGAGAACCACTGGAAATCCAGTTCTGGGAGTACTGGACAGCTTTTTCGTCCTAGTTTGAGGCTCTTCGTCAGTACGCACCCACCTGGATTCGAACCCAGGGCCTTCTGGTTACAAGGCGAGCTCGTAGACCATTGAGCCACTGGGACCCGATCTAATGGTCCTTGAATTCTAACTTCTGCCAATTCACGACATAGCGCGACCATTTCGCAATGTCTTCTTCGATGAGTTACTGCCTCACCTTCAACCTTCTGTACCCTACTGGTCACGGCTTCCCACTAGAACCCCAGGTTAACCGACTGAATAGGGCCAGTCACTAGTGAGCATCAGGTGAATGCCATGCCTTAGAACAACTCCATTTCCTATCTACACTTGTATGGGATAAGTGTTTTGATTTTCTGAGAGTAGAACAGGATATACACTTAACATGAATAACAATCGCAGTGTAGTCCAGTGTTAAACTTCATCAGGACTGATTGTGTAAGGATGCAGTATTACTAACCATGTCTACTAAATACATACTGTCAATTGAAAATCAACTGAAATGCATATTAATAGGAAATAATACTATGAAAAAGGCGTTGTTAACTTACCTTAGTAGCTTCATTATTTACACCTTTGGAAGCACTATCATCATTAATTTGTAGTCCTGATAAGTCATCCAAATATTCTGAAACACCACTTAAGGGTACGAAATTGCCATCATCAGCTGCATTGGCTGCAGCGAAATCAGAATTTTTGATTTCAGCTTCCCATTCTTTGACAAATTCATCAGATGACCATAAACCACATCGAGCGGCTTTAGCATCTTCTTCTGCTTTCATCAGATCTTGATAGTACGGTGATCTTTCAGTTGCAGGTGCACGGTGAACAGTACCATAGCCTTGAGATATCAGCAGAACACTGAGATTTGTTTTTGGCTTAGCATTGACAACTTCAGTTGGCTTCTTTTTCTTCTTTCCTGAAGACTTATTCGCCACCTCTGGTCCGTTTGTATTGCTAGTTGAAGATGACGGAGAGTCTAGGAAAATCCATCCGACAAAATTTCCCACTCTATCAATCGTTTCCACTCTGATCTCAACATCACGTTGCATACATAAGTCTTTTGCGAATGCATAAGCTTCATTACTGAATGGCATGTCGGGTAAAGCCGAGCCATCAGGACCAACTCTAAAGTATTATATAGGTAGAGAAGGAAGTTATGCATTTGTGGATAATCAAGTAAAACATTGAAATAACAAGTAAACAATAACTTGATAATCGGAATAAGTAGATCCCTGTTGACCGACGAGCTCAACCTCTCTTAGTTGATTGTAACCCTAGTAAATAGGAAAGGTTAAGCGTGAAGCCAGAAACTGATGTCGTAAAAATAAAAACCACTGCAACTGACACTTCAAATCTCAGGTTTGAAGCCCCATGTTCCAATGGGAACGCAAAGAAATCAAAAAATGAAACAATAATTCTAGGAAGCACACTGATTAACTGACTGGTTTCAACATAGGACTTTGCGCCGATGTGCAGCATTTCCAGTTGCCACACTTCACTTAGCACACAAAGCCAGAGAAGAAAGTAAAAAGAGATTCAAAACAGAAATATGAGGCAAAAAGAATAGTGATATGGAAGAACAGTATAGTTTTATTGGATATAATAAATCACAAGGAGTGGATGCATCTGCACCAGCCATTGAGAACTATTTTGAACCATATCACCAGTTGTCTTCAACCATTGGTTTCTACCGTCGCGAGGACCTCAACCAGTCAGGAAATTCACACCTCCCTGCGTGACTATCCTAAATTAATTGTTGTGTATTTCATTGACTGTTGAAGCCATGTTTTCGTTTGCCCACCACTAGCTAACTCCTTTCCAACCTGATCCTACGTCAGCTAACATTGCCCATCGAGGAAGACAACGGCTAGGTAGGCATGCATAACACATGTCCTAACCATCTTCGTCGATGTAACTTCACGACTCCTGCAAAACTCAGTACCGGTTCACACTGTAAAACCTATATAATCCTCTTATTATTTCTGCATCACAAATATTCCAACCACAAGTTAAAACAATTAGTCCCTTTGATATATTTGAATAAGGCATTTAGAATGTTCCAATGTCGTCGGAAAGAACATGTTCCAAAATGGCTACTAAATCATATAGAAAATCCCAATACGAGTAATCTGAATAGAAATCCAGCATGATCCATTGCAAAACACATTAATGTCACGTCACAAAATCAATATAAATGACTGTTTCACAATTATTTCCGGACACGAAGCGAACCCACAAAACAATTTCTCAGTTATCTACACAATACGTGGGAATCTTGCCAAAAGAGTACGAATTAAACTTCTTCAAACTGCAGAAGCAATGGCAATTCACATATTGAATCCTGAACTCTGCATACAAAAGAAGTTTGTTCAGTCACTAAATCTACAATGGTCCTGATCTATCTCAACACCAAATACGTAATTTTGTCTTACCTCTTTCTTCTTTGTTTGTCTGTTTCTTAATTGCATTATTCTCTACCCCCACCCTCTATTAAATCTCTACCCTCATGACGACTGTTGCTAACTCCATTTTCGTTTATTTTTAAGCGAATTCTACTCAGCTTATTAACTTAACTCTCATTCATTTTTCATTGAACCCTAGCAATTAGATTACGTCACCCAAGCTACTTTTGTAACTTTATTTTAGTTTCTAACCGATTAACGCCTCCTAAATTACGTAATTCGTTGTCAAAAAATTAACAATTGCATTAACACATCTTTGGAAATATTCCTTTTGTTACCAAGAAAAATTACTATAAATTTGCGGTTTGTACAGCTTGAGAATGATATCGCCGAAAAGAGTAACTCTTTGCTGAACGCCTTTTCTTTTCTATGACTGAATGGGAATTTTCAAATTGCTATTTCACATAACTTTAATTCAAGGTTATTGAAGGTGATGGAAGCACTTTGGGGGATTAATCACATACAGCCTAAACTATGTGTATAAAAAACAATAGACTTCAATCTTCGCCTACCATGGACAACATGACCTATCTAAATGTAATTGGTCATTAGTATGTACTTTTGTGTTTTTTATTTAACTGAGTAATTATCATGACCTTTATTTCATTATTGTTAACCATGTTAGTTGTAAAAAAACTACGAAATGATATCATCTCGCGAAATTTGTCTTCTAAATGCCTTATTCCAACTACAAGTGTCAGAACAACTTCGTAGGAAATTAGCGATAAATTTATACAATGGTGTTGGTATGTCAAGTATACGAAACGAACCTAGGAACTGATTTCCACTATGGAGAAAACGTTTAGGCTTATGAGAAAGCTAAGCACTTGGAAGCGTAGAATGAAAAAAAGGTAGCTTTTTCCACACTACCTCTCCTTCTAACCTCTATTGTTGTCAAATAGCAGGTCGCCCGTTTGCCGGACAAAATTTGCAGCTGCAGGCATTGTACACAATGGTTCCTGAACAGCATATAGACCACCACGTTCCATACTGTTTGCCGATTTACATATATCTATGCACAAATACATTGGGTGAAGACAGTAATCAGGCTTAGCACATAGGGGGGGTTGGTGAAACATGCACTCGGATGACTTGAAAAATAAATAAATAATTAATCTCGAGAACCTTGATAAACAAGCCAATAGTAGACTATCAACCTCGTCTACAGCAAAACTTATTATTTGTATGGATCATAAGACTGATATTAAAAAACAGCTTCCAGGAGTATCTATACTACAAACCATCAGTGGTGCACGCTGAAATGCAATGAGGTAATAGTCATTCCTAAAGATATCCAACTTTAAAAATAAGTCAAGCCTACACAAAATTTTAATTTCGAGGTGAAGTTCCACCTTATTATTACTATTAGTTGGGGATTAAATAACAACACAAAACTTAGTGCACCCAGGCTATTGTGCAGAAATTACAGGCGAAATGAAAATATGTGCCGACATTGACAAATATACATAATCTCAAAGGTAAAAAGTAAATGGTATTACATATACACATACCTTCCTCTACGTGGGCACTGAATACCACTCAGTAAAAGGGTGATAATACAAGTTTCTCGAGGTATATAAACACGAAATCTACTTGCACCGAATACGAATTCAACTAGACCATCCAATCGTTCAGCACGTTGTAAAAAGGATAAAAACTGGCGTGATTTGGCAACGTTACCTGAAATACGGATAAATGAGGTGTGATGAATACACTTTGGTCAATATTAAGGTATACCATAAGTTATCAAAAGCCTACACAATCACAAATAAATTGGTAATGTTTCTAAGTTATTGACTTAGAACTGCTCATTCACTGAACGAAACACTAACCCATGCAGCATGACATAAGAATATTCAAGTTACACACATTCAGACTAGAAGTAGGAAGCTGAATTAATTTTAAGGTGTATGAAATAGTATGTTGGTGGCGCTAATTGATACAATTTACAATTCATGGGTCATTGATTTGGGTCCCCGTGGCTGAATGGTAAACTAGCTTACTTTGTAACCAGAAGGTCTCGGGTTCAAACCCCGGTAGGTGCGCACTGTTGACGAGCCCAAAACTACGGGGAAACAGCTGCCCAATACTCCCTGATTTCAAAATTGTTCTCTGACTGATGTCAATCCGTGGTCAAACTTGAAACAAATCCAATTCTTACAAGCAATCTCTTGAAAACCCGACCAGTTCTTTACTGAAGTTGAGATCAGGAAATCAATGAAATAGCTATATAAATGTTCAGTTTTATTTTTGAAAGGTATCAGGTTTCACAGGTCTTCCAAAACAGACTAACGGTGTCCCACCTACTTAGACGACTCTCAAAACTGTAAATAATTAAAGAACGCATAAATGAGTTATTTTACATTACTCATCACCTCTAGATGGCCAATAAGTAGTTAAGTACTGTTCGAGATACCTTAATTCTCAAAATTGATAAAAATTTCATTAAATGAGGTCTCGATGAATAGGTAGCAGAGGATTTATCGTACCAAAGAAAGTTATTATTTAGAACAGCTCAGTTTTAGGTTATGCATAAATGCAAGTCGAGACGGTAAGTTTCACACCTTCTCATCATATATATATATTCCTTAGAATAAATGATGAAACTTAAAGGACAACATTGATACCTGTAAGATCTGCAATACGATGAACTGGAGGGTCTTGTTTGCTATACATTCCTAGTCCCTTTGATTGAGCAATTTCTTCAGCACCAAGAAGGTCAGCGTAAAAAGCGGTGCGGGAATCGTTTGCATTGCGATAACGAATAACGGAAGCCAAACCTTTTGATACCAAATCTAATGCAAGATTTGTATTTTCAGTTTGAACTGTAGCACAAATACGTTCGTCAACAGTGTTTGGAGTTTTCGGTTGAATGTAATCGACATGTACGGTAACCTAAAATTACAATGATAGAAAAAGTAATAGAAAGTATTAAGATTGAGCCGTTTTAAAGTATAATTTCTACATTACAGAATATATAAGATATACCACCTGATTTATTTCTGATTAATCATGTACTTACAGGCTTTCCGATATACTGACGAAGAACTTCTCTGGCTTCAAACACATATGGTATATCATAAAGTGGACGAATACGAGCACGTTGAGCTGGTGCTGGCTCCTCATCTTTTCCAGTAGCCTGAGGTCTAGGAGCTCTTATGCTGGATAAGAAGAATTTATGTACACCATCTGCACATTTGACAGAAACGTTATCACCATTACCAACTTCGCATATCTAAAGAAAAGAAAATGCATAATTATTGAGTAAAATACGCAACAAGTGTTGCAGGCAGACAAGTGCATATATTTGCAATTACATTTCACTACCGTTTTGTAATTTTGGACAGAATTTTCCAATTGCCAACAATGAATCTACTGTTTCATAGTAACTAGTTATTGATTAAGGTAGTGCTTTGAAAGCTTAGATCAGTTGCTTCAGCTTCCGTAAGCCTTATGAGAAATACTCACTTATAAATATTAGTGGAGACTAGTATGCTAAGTGAAGGTTAGGAAGATTAGTGACTATCCAGATTTGCAATTGTAAGGTTAGACTTCGAGTTACCTCCAATTAGATGAAACAAGTTTACTTGCGTTTTTTATTATTAACACGTAGGTTGCCGGAAGAAACATTTCTGCATACTTACAACGATATTCGAGGGCAATTTAGTTAATTAAGGAATAACGATGAAATCCTTACTTTTGAAGAACTCGTTTCTGTGCATTCTAAGTTGCTAAAGCTCGGAGAGGTGTTCGAAGTGGCTACGGGAGTAAGACAAGGTTGACCACTATTATCACCAATAATATTCTCAATTCTGGTGGACTGCAATAATGCGGAAGACTGTGGGGAGTCAGAAGACAGGAATACGTTCCACAGATAAGAAGACTAGAAGATCTGGATTTCGCATATGGATGATTCATGTATGATGTCAAACTCGAAGACTTGCAGGCTGGCAGTGAAGACAAGACTCCAGGTGAATATAGAGAAGACGGAGGTGATGAAGATAACCGACGAACCGCAGCAACAACAACAAATGCCAGAACCAATCACTATCTACGGGAGACATTTAATAGAGGTTACTTCCTTCACTTATCTAGGAAGCATCGTTTTAGCTACAGGTGGAATGGATGATGTCAAAGCCAGGCAGAATCGGAAAGGCAAGATACACCTTCATCAACCTGAAACCAACTTGGAAATCTTCTGCACACAGTTAGCATAAAGAACAAGGGTCGGATTTTCAACACCAATGTGAAGTCGGTCAGTTCTTCTATACGGGTCAGAAACTTGCGCTGCGTGTCACGAACAGGACTTCCAACAAGGTACAGACTGCTATTGACAGCTGCCACCTTCGCTGGATCTATACTGAAGATCAGATGCCCAGCCAGAAAAAAATTAGCAACAAAAAAACTCTGGGAACAAAACAACCAAGAGCTGATTGCTCAACAAATATGTGGGAGAATATGGAGATGGATTGATCGGATATATGTTGAGTAAGCCGTCGAATGACATCACCCGCAATGCAAGTCATCGCTGGAGTGAAATACCAATGGGAAGCGACGAGTGGGTCACCTTAGGGTGAAATGGAGTTCATGCGAGGAGCGGATGAGAGATTATGGTCAATTTTGGGGCCAGCCGAAGAAGACAGCGCTAAAGAGAACAAAGTGGAGATGTGTTGCTGAAGTCCTATGTTCTACTAGGAACCCAAAGGAATAGTAATTCAGCTCAGCCAACTAGTTAATAGTTGTAAAACAATGGGACCATTGTGAAATAATTTAGTACTTCATTAATAGATATACCCGGATCACATAAATTTTAAATACATACACATTCAGTAGTTCCGGAAAAATATACTTCTTTCAGATTGAGATGCTTTCAAAATGCCCTTAAATACACTTAATGAAAATCCGAATTTACTTTTCATCAACTTTGAAGTCATAAACACGATACTTAATGTAATAAAATTGGAATTCTACGTTTCTGTTACCCAATCGCACTCTTGTGATAACTAATATACAAATCATGTACAAGGCTAGATAGTAATCACCAATTAGTGCTTTATTCAATTGACTTACGTAATTGAAGTTTTTGAAACCCAAACAAAGCCTAGAACAGTTAAACCGATTGTTTGGATGACATAAATTAGCAATTACCAAAAACCATTGCAAGTCAATTTTCACCTTACCAAATTCCAAAACATTACTTTTATCGTGTCGGTAACTACATCGTTCAGGTTGCCACACTCCAACAATAAAAGACCATAGGACGTATAAAGATTTCGTCAATAAAGAAAACCTTCAGTGAACTGAGTTTTATCTTATTACAGGTTATTCAAATAATGGATTGCGTGAATGGTATAACTGCTTGAAGGGTTGGAGTCCAGCAGTATTTATTCATAGGCCATTCACCTGATAAAAATAGGCACATTTCTGTTACCGCTTAATGTGTGCCTACAGTGATAACTATCATTAGATTAAAAACGAGTAGCGGACTAACTACTAGTTCACAATTATAAACTAGCTTAATAAAAAATATCTTTGAAAAAGGATTTCTCAATTATATATTGAGAAACGCATATCCTGAGAGAAAATGTGAGGATTTTTCAGATAAAAGTTAATTACGAATCAGAATCTCGGTTCTATGAAATTTTTCCCCAAAAAGTAGGGATAACTCATATTTAAACCACATTTATGTAGATACTTACAATTCCACTGAAAGTTTTCCCTGGGACGATTGTCCGTACAGTTTCAACTTGTTGTTCTGTTGCTTGAACAGGTTGGTAATCTTCCCACAGACGTAATCGCCTTTCTTTTGCGAATTTCTCTGCCGCTCTGTATGCATCAGCTGCACCTGGTACACTGACCAAGCTAAGATTCCAATCGATACATCTAGCGAGACCTTGCCGCAACAACAACTCTGCAATATTTCCGTTGGGATGGATTATGCTGCCGACGAAGTTCTGATTGAATACAGATTCAATCACAATGGTAATATCTCTTTGAAGTAGTCTGGATTCGACGAAGAATAGTGCATCATGACCCCATGGTTCAGCGACCTATAGTGTGCATTATAATGAATTTTACAGACCTACCATTTTTCCATCTTCATAACGTATTGAAGGAGATTTTATACCAGACATTGCAACTGTTAGTAATACAAAGGTATTTGGACCTTCTTGAAGAGACTCGGGAAGAATGAATGCTTGAACAGAACAACCATCACGGACATTTTCAACAATAGCTTTTAGGGGCTGATTTTTGTACTTTTCGAAGAAAGCTCGTGTATCTTCAACCGACCAGAGGATCGATCTTATTAGAGCTGGTTCAGAAGACCAGCGACCTTTACCAAGTGATTTGGCTTGCTCTTGAGCAGCCAAAAGTTGTTGATATACTTTATTCTTGTCAGCCAATGTTGGATTTAGCCTCCTCACTTCAGCTAGACCCTGTTCAACTAGTGCCAATGCAACATTATCACCACTTGTGCTTTTACCTGTTGACAAGATGTACAGCAAAAAACCAACATACCTAGGTAGACGCATCCATATTTACGACCGGAAGGCAGTTCTGTTTCAACAGAGTAGCAAACCTCTTTCCCTATCAGTAGGGAACGAGCGAATTCTCTCGCCTCCCATGCGAATGGATCTTCCGGAATGCCTGAGGGATTACCCACTGTAGGTTTACGAGCGATACGGCCGCACGATATATTAGAAAGGACAATAGTTCGTTCAGGAGGAGGACCGTTCACTGGCCTGTCACGAATTACGATAGTGTCGCCCGTTAAAACCTACAAAAACAATAACATTGTCATTGAGAAATAAAAGCAACACAGTTGCACATGATATGTGCAACACATGTGAACTATTATGCAAATATTAATAACTTACTTGCTTCACTATCCCAAGGAAAAGTGTAGGAGGACTAATAGGCTTCGCATCCTGCTTATCGTTATTCGGAGAAGACATGATTCCAACTTCTATCAAAATGCCAGTAACAAACACGTGGCAACAACTACACCAAATTACACACTACTAATTTGGATCGTTAAAACAAACAGTCGCTTCTAACATGTATTCCAACTATTTGAAATATAAAGTGGCGAAAAGCTGTTCGCTGCCTTTTGTCTAATTTAAAGGATTGACTTGAATGGAGGATCACTATAGAAATCTTGTGTATAGTTGATATTTACCTTGTATTTTTGTTCAGACAAAGGTCGCAACAAGATATCATAAATTTATAAGTGTCACCTGTCAACACAGCATGTTGTAAATTCACCTGTGATACAATGATGTGTTTCCCCTGCTACGTTTTACCTGGTTGCGTACACTACTCGGGCTATGCCTCTTCCGATGTACATAATAATTTTGATTGGGAAATACAAAAACCTTTATTATAATGAATATCATATAGCCAATGCCCAAATTTTTTCAAACTGTTAAAAGTGAACTTGGTTTGGACATATATAATAATTTTGCTTCCTGGTTCTTTCCTCAAATACCTGATCACATCTCCTTTGTAAATTTACAATTTCATTTGCGTCGGTGGCACAGTGGTTAGGACTCTCGCCGACCATGCACATGGTCCGGGGTTCGATCCCCTGCCGGCGCACACCCGATATCTATGATCGGCCTGAAATTTGGGCTACCGATATCCATGCTGAAAATCGCATACTTGTACTGAAAATATGGTGTGGAATCAAGCTGTAATCAAAATAAAAATGAAAATTACAGTTTCCCTTTCATGATATAACCATATGAATAGCTCTTTAGGTGTCTTTTGCTCAAAATATGTCTGCAGTACCCTCGCTGAGTTTCCAGCTGATTCTTCGAGTGAAAATTTGGATGAAAGTAACTATTGGAGATGATTAGATTCCACCCCCGAAAACAAGGCTGAGATGGTTATTTTGAGCCTAAATGCCGTTGTGGGACATACGTTGTATACTGAAATACATCACACGAATGTCACGCCAGTGATTGTTTTCCACACGAAAGGACTACTCTCAGTTCGACCGCATACGAAATATACTCCTAGTCTGTGGAAATAGGTATGGACCTGATGGACTAGTTTTGTTTTTAAGACTTTAGGAACCGATTCTAAAATTCTGCTTGTTATAGCTTTGAGCCTGCAATCATACACCTGGCCAATCAAAAGTCCAGGCCTTCCCAGGTCGCTGTAACCGCTAGATATGAAGTGAGGGGTTTTATTACTAATGTAGATTTTTACAAATGGATTAATTACTATTCCCCGTTGTTTGTTTTCATACTACGGAGATTTCTTCCCTCATTACTGAGAAATGTACAGAACAACTTTTACCAAGTCATTAAATCAATGTGTTCCATTATGGTGTCATAGTTAAGAAGATCGTTCTCAAATCTGACACTAACAAAAAGGCTCCACTACCTCATCTTTTACTAGTCGGATACTAGTATCTGACCGACGAAACTTTCATCTGTGTTACAGGGAGAATAACTGTTTTGCAGTTATTCACAAGGCAGATCAAAGTGACAACACGTATTTTATGATCTTCAAATAGCCGAGTACTTTTAGGAGGGTATCTAAAAATTGGCGCAATGCATTTGGCCTCCTCCTGAAAGATTTTAAGACTGGCGAAGTAAAAGAGACATTGAAAGAGGCTTGTGAACAATGCCTAGTGATGAGATGTACCTCGTGCTCAGTTGACTCCATGGTTGATATATCTCGTTCTGTTTTTGGGGTGAATGTATCCAAATGCTTCGCCTAGTTTCTTTTGTGGTGGGCTACGCGTGCTTTTTTTCTTACTAGCCCTTGTTTGCATTGCTTGTTCTTATTACAAGACTGAATTGCCGTCAGATATTTTTCCAGCCATTTGAAGTATGTGGGATCAGGGAAAGGCGGGTCGCAAGCTTAAGATAATCATCACATGTTTCCAAACAGGCCAGCTCTTTCCATTATATGAACTCGACTGCCAAATTTTATTGTGACTTATGTCGACATTCATATGGTTGTCGTGACTGTCTATATTATGCATTTCTATTTTCTTCTCTTCCTTTGTGTGCTACATGGAGTGTGGCGGCTTGAACTGCCGCACATATGTGCAAAGTTCTATGTCGAAAACCGACCGACCGGTCGTCGTGACCACTGTTCGTGTTTTGCTACCCTATTATAGATTGCTATAAAACGATTATATACTGACTGCAAACTTTGCATCCTACAGAACCTAGCGATCCATGGGGTCTCGGCCAAATGAAGATGAGCTTCATGAACCTTGAATCTACCAGTGGCCAGTGCCTTGAGATTTGAAGTACTTATCAATGAAGCAGTCCTCAACCTCACCCATCCTGGAGATCACCATGCCTCAGACGGATTTGGCGCAGACTATTGAAATAGCAGTACAACCGGGGTCAGTGATATCTGATAAGGAGGAACATCACGTAAGTGAGAGGGTGGAAGTAGTCGAATTCACAACACTAGAGAAGCTTATCCCAGGTCATTTGGTCATACAGTGGGAGTAAAAGTCAGGCCGATAAATCCTCATCCACAGGTGCTCTAGAACGCCTAAAGATATCACTGTAAATATTTCTGAAGACGACATAGAATTATTCTTAACTACCATGAAACACACACTTTCTCCCGAAGAGAAGTGGCAGGACACACAGGGTGGTTGCGTGCCACTTGCTGAACATTTTGGTAGAATTTCCAGGAAAAGTACTCACAGTTTCGGTAGGCACTGGCTCGGGTAGCTTCCTTTTTCAGATACAATATGTGGTAGAAAACTGACGACCTTTGTATGACACAGCTTCAAGCTCCCGGTGTAGCAAGGACAGAATTAACTCCAGAGGTAATAACTCCATGAGAATGTGAAAGCAGTCGTAAATGTCTGGTAGCCGGTGAAATGGCATGAGACTCAATTGAAAGTTACGCCCTTCTATGCGGTTCCAGGGCCCCTACTGATGATGAATCTCGGACGTTTACTACACTATATTTCAAATGATTTCTGTGCTCAGGTAATGAAATCATCCATCTGCATTTAAGTGTCAACGCAATTAACCAGACCAATGGAAGGAAAGGAAGTTCACGTTCCTGCAGAACATAAAGGGACCAGTACAAAGCTGATGTAAGACATATCTGTTGTAATCTGGCAGACGCAGGTTTGACCCATGGAGAACGATGGCTATAAAACACCACATGGAAACTAGGTGTTGTGTGCCGATAAAACCAGAGTACTCTGCAGGTTACAATCGCAGCTTGAATACATGTTTGAGGATACCCCATAAGAGTGAAAAATCAGATGGCCCAATTCTCCGTAGGTTTCCCAAGTAGTGTTGGTTAATAACAAAGATGGATCACTTCGTATATGTGTGAACCAAGAGAATTGAAAGACCACGAAATGACGAAACTTTAAAGGCGCCAGCAGGAGCCAATGGGTTTTCCATCGTTCTATAATAATAATAATAATAATGTATTTCATATAAATTTACAAATTTACATGAAAATGCATGCCATTTTTACAGGCACGATCAAGTATGATATAATATCAAATCGTAGATTGTCTACAAGTTAATCGTATTTCAACTGTTAAATATTCGATACATATAATACACTCATTTTCTGAATTAGGCCGTATAGTTATTGAATTGTACAGTTGTCCTCCAGGTTGAGCGGGAAAATCGACTTCGTTCCGTTTTCATCCCGTGGTTGTAGGCATACGATAACCAACCGATATTGAGGTAAGTACACCTTTTACAAGGGATTGGAATCTGTTTTAGAAAAATTAAAGTGCTTAGGTGAATCATTAAATTGTAATGAAATAGGTAAGTGCAAGTATCATTAATAAATGCATTAATAAAGGAAACACCCTAGGGTAACAACATTCATTTGCAATGTATAATGCTACAGATATATCACAAACTATCATGATATCCACTTTTGGTTTTAATACAATTATCCTCATGCCAGTTGTTTTTATTTTATACCTTTTTGTGCATTTAGTGCACAACCGTACCCTTCAGAGAGTAGGAGTATAATAAGTAATGAAGAGCTATAAGATGTTAAGTTTAATGGAGTAAAATGAGGATCAAGTAAAGACGTTGTCAGAAAATAAATGAGATAAGACATTGTGGAGTGGTATGAAAAGATCTGACGATAGACAGCAAGTTAATTTATAAGATGCCCCATAAATCTGAGCAGATCCCACATGGTCGCATCTCAACAATAGGCTGGGTGAATGGTATATATTTAAAGGTAGAAGCATGATCTGTCAAGGCGTTCATTGTTATCTTTTTCAAGATAAAGATTTTAGCCCTCATAAAAATCAGAAATATCTCGAGCCTTCAAATTTTTTAATGCTGTTCCTGCAGAATGGGGCGATTCACCTTAGTGACCCCCACCATATCTACTGATCAGCTAACTGAGTTCACTGAGTCTCTGGATAGTGGCAGGTTGAATTGCATCCCCGTGATCATTCTAAGACTGTTTTTTCTATAATTATGGGAGTGTATGGGTTTCAGACCATGCCATCTGGCTTAGCTAACGTACCAGTGGGATTTCAAAGATTTCGTGCGGGAATCGAGGGGAAATTCAGTATATTCATGTGGTATACGTGAATGACTTTGTAGTATTTAGTCCCCATATACTTTTGGAATTTAGCCGCGTTCTTCATAGTAGCGGTACGTTCAACGTTTGCGTTACATTTTAGCTTGATTCGCTATATATTTCTATTTTAACTGTGAGACTCGCACAAGTGTTTCTCCAGTTCCATAAATTTAACCAATAACTCTTTCACTAATTAGTTATGGTTAGTCATACAAAAAAGCCACGAACTCAGTCACCTGTCAACGTGATTACTAATAGTATAAATATGCTCGCAACGACGAGCAGCACAACTCCCACAAAGTATGGAAATGAGGCACACAGCTTGCCAATACGCCGCAAGCGTCGAGCTGCCGGTTCACTACCATCTACTGTGGCTGAAACTGAGGGCGAAAACTTGCTGACAAACAGCAGTAGCAACGCTTCTACAAACTCAGCACTTGGTCCTGACATAAACCTCTTCACTTCACCCTATGTACGTGTCACAAAACTTCAGATTCCAAG